CAGCAACAGCAACAGCAACAGCAACAGCAACAGCAACAGCAACAGCGGATTGACCAGTGCCGAGGTTGTTTTCCATTTAAACATGGCGAATAAAAGACTTGTCTTGCGCTCTACTTCCTTGCGTTATTGGCAGATCTAATTCTCCTCTAGATACAAAATATGAACAACAAGAACAAGAAAGGCAAAGAGGCTTTTAAGTCCATTTTTAGCTTTTAAAAYATTTTCTCAGCTAAAGCTCTGTATGAGTTTACTTTTAACTGAACCTCGTCAATCCTCATCGCTGCCATCAAAAAGAGCCTCTTGTTYGTCTCCCCATTCGCTATCGGAATCAGATAAATTGCCAACCTCGTCCTCGTCATCACTTGCAAAAGCATCTTCAAGAGCTTTTTGCTTTCTCTGCTCGATTTGCTTCTCTTGTTGTCTCTTCTTTTCCATCAAAAGCTGGCGTTTCCTGATATCTTCCTTTATATCAAAAGCGTTTTCTTTCTGTTCTTTTAGTTGCTCTTCGAATGGAGGTAGCTCCAGTGGCACCGAGCGCGGAAGGAGATTCATCTTGGGGCGTTCTTTGTCCCTAAGAGCATCAGATCTGGAATTTTGCACCGCTGCTTCTCCAAAAGCAACGAGGTCTCCCTTGCTGCTCGATATAGCAGTAGCCGATCGAAGTTTTGGCGGAGGTTTGAGCTGTTCACGAAGACCAGTGCTGCTGCTGCTGGAGGTTTGACCCGCGGTTTGTTGTGAAGTATGATCATTCATGATGGACGCTATTGTCCGAGTGGCATCGGGAAAGGGTAAGGATGATGGCCCGCGCCAGTTTCTAGCCACATCGGACAATAATGGTCGTGGCATTCGCGTATCCAATAGCTTCACGCAGTGAATGTATCGATTAGGTTCCGGATCAAAACTCTCTGTTTTGAGTTTCCAGAATTCGGCATAGTGGTGAACAAATTTTCTAGATGCTCTATCCATACGGTTGAGTGGAAGAGAAGCTGCCTTGTCATCATTCAAAAAAGTTGTCCATTTCTTTTCTATTTTCAACAGCAACTGCATCCGATGATCACGGGCCTTCAAAATCAGTTCATCTGGGTACAGTGCAGCCTCTAGTTCGTCAAGATGTTCGGTCGGGCGTGCCCAGCCGGAAGCATAATGCCTTTGTGTGGCAGGTTTCACACCTAGGGCTTCAGCAAATGCCCGATTGCGGACAAGTTGCTCTTCCGTGGCCGATCCTCCGGCTGGTGTCGGTGTCGCTGCTGGATGACTGCTCGGCAAAGGATCCGCTGCAACAGGATTCATTCCAAACGTAAGGTTGGACATCATTGCTTTTCGTCTTGCGGCTTCTCGAGCCTCCCATTGGCGTTGTTTTTCTTCTGCTGTAGTCTTCTTGACAGCCCTTGTGATTCTTGATAGGGTTTTTGATTTCTTATTTTTTGTGAGAGATTTTCCTGCGTCACTATTGTTTGACTTGGCAAAATTTGTCGTCGAGGATGACGTATTATCCCTACTATTATTGCCCGATGCGGAGGCTGGTGCTGGAAGGGAGGGGAAAGCCCCGGAGCCTGCTGCGGGATTGCTGCCTCCGTGTCGACCAGTAATGTGCGAAGCAGAATAAAAGGGGGATGGACCGTTTCCACCAGGCCTTGGTCCGTTTCCGAACGATGGAGATGAAGCTGCCAGKGACGGAAAGTCGCTGTGCCCACGGCCACGAAGCTCTGGGTTTTCGTCGTCATCAATGATCATATATCCTCCTCCTCCATTGTTCATACCACCAAAACCGAAATCGCCAGCGTTATAAACATCTAGATCGTTCCTTGTGAAACCGCCTTGCTCATACTGTTGCTCTCCCCTTGCCGCAGCTGCTCGCTCTTGCCTCTGCAGTGCGGCATATTGCTCTTGCAAAGAAAAGGAGTCTTCCTKTTGCCGCGTCGATTGGTTTGTTGTACCGATACCGAAACTGTCATTTGTGGCTGGAGCTGCTGCTATCGTACTCACTGAAGGCTGACCAACAAACAACGAGTTCAGGAGTTGCTGCGCCATCTGTTGCATTATGTCTGCCCGGCCTTGCGCCGTAGCTGCAGCCGCTCCGGCCGAACTCAACGTGATTCCTTTTGCATCGTAGGCATCCGTGACCCGTATTTTTTGCCGCTGTTGTTTTTTGTTCTTGCTCCGTTGGTTGTTGTTGTTACCAAACCCCGTGTCGCCACTCCCATACCGATCCAGGTACCGATCTAAATTCAAGAGTTCTGGTCGAGTCAAATCGCGACGGGTGAAGGGATCAATGAATTGCAGCTGGCTCACCATATAAAATGCCAATGCACGACCATCAAAGAGATTGAGCGGCCGTTCAGACAGAGGAGGCGAGGGCGGTGCAGAAGACACTTGTTCTTTATCATTGACCGACGAGGTAGTGCTAGTCTCCTTCGACGGCAACATAAATTCACCCCATTGATCTGCGAGTCTCTGTCGATTCAGATCTTCCACGTCTTCTACTTTTTCAGAAGAAGTGGGACCGGCTTCGGCTTTACCGCTTTTATCATCTTGGCCACTGGTCTGTTTCTTTTGGATTGGAACTGGCCACACGGGGACCGGGACATAGGGCTGGTCTGCGACCAAGGCAAACGGCGGGTACTCGAGCGTGTTCAGATCTTCCAGAGTGATTGGATCAACAGTGCCCTCGGGTATGTGACGTCTCCAAGGATACTTTTTCTTTGCTTTTCTGTTTTTGTTCCTGTTTCGCTTCTTGGCATTCACTGTTTGCTGCGATTCCTTGTTGTTGTTGGATTCTTCGTTGTTAGCGTTTGCCGCATTGTCTTTGCCGTCGGAATTCTTGTGCGCTGCTTCGCCGCCTTTTTTCTTTCCTCGTTGTCGTTGTCGTTGTTTCTTTCCTTTGTTTCCGTTATCGTTGCCTTTACCGTTGTTGTTCTTGTTGCCTGCATTGTCATTCACTGCGACATCATCTCCGCCCTCGTCAGTCGTAACAGGTGATTTTTTCTGGTTCTTGTTTGTGTTCCTACGCCTCCTGTTATTGTTGTTGTTCTTTTTGACGGAGGCTTTTCCAGAATTTTCGGCATTGGCAACGCTGACATCATTCTTGACGGGACGTAACGCTTGGCTGGGAGTGAGTTGGAAGGAAGAGGATGAGGTTCTTCCCGTCTTGCCAGAATTCTCTGCGCCCTTTTTCTTCTCGTTGTTGTTCGAGGCTGGTGGTGGATCATCCATTGCACCTTTATGTTCTCTAAAAGTGATGCAGCCCTCGCTATTGTTTCCTATCTTGATATTACCAAAGTAGTAGTCCTTATCTTCGATTTCTTTTTACGGTACACCTGAGATTGGTATTATGGCAAATACCGTACAGTAAAATGCGAAATCGACGGAATAAATGTGTCGATGTGAGATGTGAATTCACGAATTCGTACGGGTGAAGGAAAGTCGTAACTGGAACGTACGGTATGTACGGGTACTCTTACTCGTAACATTGCGAGTTTTTACTGAGCGGTGCGAGAGCGATTACTGCACAACACCGCTCTGACGCATGTTTGGGAAAATCGGCTGACAAGAAGAGGAAGTGCAGAGCTATCTCTGTTTATTCATCTTTTGTCTAGTCGTGGCAAAAAGTCCCTGTGAAGGGTCGCGGATAGGGGTTTGCAATGAGTACCAGTACTACTCATGCATTACGTATCACTGAACGCTTACTGGTGCTAAGTACTACTACTTGCTACCACAAGGTGTTCTGTTAGAATATTTAAACTCGCCAACTTAGCTACTTTTCAGAGGGTGCTATTGCTTCTTGCCTTTGCTGTTACACTAGTACTATATGCTGATGGTAGTACTAGGAAAGTTGGCCATTCTTCTTGCTACTAGCTAGTAGTAGTAGTAGTAGTAGTACGAAGTACCTCGAAGTGATTACGAAGAAAATTATGAACCAAGAATTTGCATCATTCCATCGTCGATCTACCCAAATACAGATGCATCAGAAAGAAATAGATTGTTTGATCGCGTTCTTATTTCATTCGAATTATTAGTTTCGAAAAGTAGTACTGTAATTGAAATGCACAATACAGTTATAATCAGTATCTTTATTCTTGTTGCGAACGATTGACCTCATCAGCCCACCCTGAAGGCGCATGTGTGCTTCTAAAGTGTTTCCAAGGAGAAAACTCCCGTGGATTTCGTTTCTAGTCTAGTCTAATCCAGTCTTGTCAATCGTTCGTTCGTTTGATTTTGTTCAGATAAATTTCCCGGCAGCACATATTGCTCATATCGCATGGTGTGGAATGTGAATGCATTCGGGCTGAGATGCGCAGCTCTAGTTAAATTCATTGCAAAAACTAGAAACGCACAAGTATGGTATGTTGTAGTAATTATCGTCTATCGTCTATGATTCGAATAATCATAGTGCAGCAACTCTCCTCCGAGGCTGTGGCATTGCATTGAAAATGTTCGTCAAGCTCGTGTTTCGTTCGTTGCGTCAACCCAGAATGTCTCCTTCTTGTGTTGCCCGGTAGTTCTTCCCTCGAACCTTGATCTTTCGCCGTTTTCCCTGCACACGGTTCTTGAGTTTTAGTTGTTTCTTGGCAGTCATGCCGCGATCCATCAGACTCACCATACGATCCGTCACGAGGCTCCCCTTGGGCTTGATCGTTCGGAGGGAGGCCCCGGAACGGAGCTCCCCCGGAAGGGCCACCGGATATGTCGGCGCGTAGCGAGGATTCTCCTCCGCCAGCTGCGTGTACAGGTCTTTCCCCTTGGAACGCTCCGTGTCGAGCTTRAGCTGCTCGATTTTTTCCTTGGTTTTCTTGCGCTCGGCTTCTTCCTTSTTGAGGGTCCTGTTGACCGATTTGACGCCGCGTAGCTCGTGCGCAAACTGCTTTTGCTTTTTCCTCTGCTTGATTTCGTACTGCTCGGCGCGGATGCGTTTTTGCTTGTTGCGCTGGGCCCGCGTCATCTTCTCGGGCCTCTTTTTCGCAATGGCTTCCGTCGTTGGTTCGGCCTCCTCGTCGCTGTCCRAATCCGACTCGTCTTCCGARTCGGAATCACCCAGSAGCAGGGCCCTCGTTTCGGGTCTCATCCCCTGGCTGGCCGACTCCTTGGCATTCTTTTCGGCGACCTTTCGCTTCGTCTCGACCAGGAGCGCCTTCTGAATGGCGTTCTTGTGGTCTTTCTGGTCCGGATTGTAGGATTGTCCCGACCCCGCGAGATCAACCATCACGGGGGCCCTGTCCTTGTTTTTGGGAAGCGGCGCCGGCATTGCCTTTGTGGTACCTATCTTGACGTGGTTCGATGGCACGATGCCGTGGGGCCCGGAMGACACCGCTACGGCTGTTTTTGGTTTTGCGCTCTCGCTCGCTTTCGATTTCGATTTCACCAGCGCCGACGAGTTGCCGCCGCTGTCGTCCTCGTCCGCCCACATGTCAAAGGTGGGCCGGGTCTGCCGTGCCTTGATGCGCTTGGGTGCCCGTTTGGCGGTGATGCTCGTCGTCTTGGCCAGGGCCTCGAGCTCCTTCGCCGAGTGGTTGTCGACCAGCCTCTGGATCTGCCGTTGTTCCTTGGCGGAGACGGATTGCTTGCGCTGCTGCTTCTTTTTGGCGGCGATCTGTTTCTTAGATGGCACCACCGCCGTGGTATCGAGCACAAAGAGCTCCTCGTCGGCCTTTTCAGCCACGGCTCCCTCCTCGGCGGCAACGGCCTGCGTCTCGACTATTTCTTTCTCGAACTGGGTTCCCCTCTTCTTGGAACGGAGCTTGGCTCCTCTCACTCGTTTTCCCATGGTTTTGGTTCTGTTGTGATTCTTTTTCGATCGGGAGTGGTAGTGCTGCGATAGGTGCGATAGGTGATCGAATTATAGTTGTTTTGTTCCGTCTGGGTTTGTCTCTCTATTGTTGTATGTGGCGGGAACTACAGCAACATGTTGTGTTCGGTAGAACGRAATTATTATCGAGAACAAAATTGGCATCTCTGGGTGTCGTACGAAGAATCTGTACCATGTTGTACGATATGGTACTCGCAACTGGTATGGTACGAATACTGCTCGTACATTCGCAACACACGAAGAAGAAAGGCATTTCGATAAGAAAAACCAACATTTTTTTGGATTTTGCGTGGAAATTGAAAATTTGTGGGTGGTTGCAGATATTTGATTCGACTCATTTGACTCKGAATTGGGTTATGGGCCAAATCATTTTCCAAAGTCGTCAAAAAAAAAAAACAATGCACCGAACGATACGATACCTGGTACGATACGTAAGAGGATCGTAAGATTCGTACTACCATAGTACTAGGCGAACTACTACTAACAGACAACAACTTTCGCAACACTGACAAACAAACGTCCATCCACCGTCCCACCGGTAATAGAGCTGTACGGTACCTCATTGAATCATACTTTCCGTAGTACAACAAAAAGGCCTTTCTTTCWCCATAAAAGCAACCGTCCAAGAGAAGTTCGGGTAGAAGAGCGCCACACGGTACAAGTAACGCATTYGAGACAACATCTGAACTCGAGTGGAAAAACGATAGAGAGAGTGAAACGGTAGAGATTCACGCAGCACGAAAAATCGAAACGAAACCGAACACAACGACGCARGAAACGAGGCTACCGGTTCGTTTTTGGTGGTTTGTTTGGTCGGGTTGATCCATCGTTCTTGCCAATTTCGATTGGATTTGATTGGATTCTATTCAGCCCAACACAATCCGATACGATACGATACCAAACGAATCGACTCAATTCCATAGTAGGCGGGAGGTTTCGTACTCGTACTCGTAATCTATTCTTATACTTTATATATCATAGTACTTGTTTCATACCTGTTTGCAAATCGCCTCGTCTTAGATTCGCATCCGACTCGCAAAGCAACGGAACAACGCAAGATATCAACGCAACAACAAGAGCGAGAACAGYCCGTCAGCACAACACGACTCCACGCAACAATACAAGCAACGACACACAACAAACAAACGAACAACAGGACAGGACAAAACACACCGCAAGCATGTCCTACGACGCCTCCTCCCTCCGAGGCTACCTCCAGCGCATCGACGGAACGGCCCCGGCCATCCAGGGCGCGGCAGCCGCCATGATGAAACACTACGATAAGTCCCCGGGGGTGGCGGTCAACTGCTGGAGGGACATGCTGGCACAGGCCCGGAGCGACCAGTACCTCCCGCTCCTCTACGTGGCCAACGAGGTCCTGCAGAACTCCAAGCGCAACCGCGGAAACCGCTTYCTGGAGGCCTTTTCTCCAGTGCTGGGRCAGTCCCTGACCTTTGTGTGCGGAAAGTCGCAGCCGTCGACCGTGGAGGGCATCCGGAGGACGGTCAAGATCTGGGCCGAGCGCCGGGTCTTCAGCGTCCGGTACGTCAACGAGCTCATAAAGGGACTGGAGCCCTATCGAAGCGCCAACCGGAACGTCCCCGCTGCCACCCATCGGCACCAGCAGCCCGCGTCGTCGAGGAGCAGCAGCAGCGAGTACTACCAGGACCATTCTTCCGAGGGGGTGGGACGGTTTTCTCCCAATCCGGAGTCGCCCGTGGCCGTTCCCGTAGACACCAGCATGCAGAGCAAGGACGATTTCGATGCCGAGATGGGACTCAGCAATAATARCAAAAGCGCAATGGMAGACGACGGGGACGAGGACATGTTTGGCGGCAGCGACGACGACGATGATCTCTTCGGAGGCTCCGCGTCGAACCGCCTCCTCAAGATCGACGTCGACTTTGACCGCGCCTCCGCMGAGGCGCGCAAGAGCGAGGGGACCAAGAAGAAGCGGCGCCGGGGATCCAACGAACCGGCGGGCGATGGCCCCTCTCCCAARCCCAGGTCCAAGCGCCGGGCCAACACGCAGCAGCGGTGCTCTACCAGCTCCCTCATGGAACTGATGAACCAGGTCTCGGCRGTCCAGGCCAACTACGATCGCCTGGCCGCAAAACTCGGTGAACTCTATGAGGCATACGATGGCGGCGRCGAYAMCGGACCCTCCGCCGAGGCACCGGTGGGGGGCGAGTTGTTGGCCGAGTACAAGAAGACCCTRGGCGACGARYTGGAACTCGAGAAACACCGSAGAAAGCTCCACTCGATCGCCCAGACCCGGCGGGGGCTGGAACTCGACGCCCTCCGATACCTGCCCTGGCTCGAGCAGGCCCTGAAACAAGACGGGGAGGACATTGAGTTCAGCGAGACGTATCGGAAGCAGCTCTCGCTCTTCCGGAACGTCCACAAACCCACCCGGGAGGCCCGCGACAAGCGCCTGGAGGAGGAGGCCACCCGCATCCGAAAGGAGGAAGAATCGAAGCGAAAGAAGGCAGAAGAGGAGGAACGCAAAAAGTTCATGGAGTCCGCCATGTCGAAGCAAACGGAAGCCCAGCCGGGGATGGTATGGAACCGTGCCACGGGAGAATACCAGCATCTGAACCAAGAAGAGAGCTGGAGAGATTGAGGAAGRCAGGTGAGCATGCATTCGGCCATGCGCATGCRWAGTGCGGTGAGGATACTGTATCAAAAACGACTATAAATCGCAAAAACGAATTCGAATGAAACATAACAGAACATTACAATGCAGTAAAAAACCACATGCATGAAAATATATTGTACTGTGCTTCAGTCTTCAGTGTATAGATCACAAAACTACATCAGCYTATCCAACACACGAAATCATTGCCATACCATACCTATCGTATTGTGAAGTATAAATGTCATACTACCAGGAAAAAATGATTTGAAACAAATAACGAAATGGATGCAAAGAATTGACTAATTTTAATCACAGGGTWATACTTTTTTCAGATGCTTTTTTCTTCTTCCTCCTCCATGGATGARCTGGTTCTGGTGTCGGCATTTAAATGATTGATCAGTTATAACGTTCACCTCTGAACCAACCCTCTGATTGGAAAGATCGTACCATATATCATCTGGTAATCATTGATTGTGCAATGTCCGTGTTGGAAACGGCAACTGCCATTTTGGGGATTAGACTGATTCGTGTCGCGCCATCTTGTCTGTTCAACCRATCTGGGGTATTTTGACGACGATTGTTCTGGTTTCGTTATCGACAAACAGACGAAGCCGATCGCACCGATAATCCTCGGTATGAAAGTCGTTCTCTCCGAGAACTTGGACGCAAAGCGTTCCCTTGCCGTATTGTTTTTCCAAATATTCCACCGCATCTGTGGCAAGCATGTTTTCGAGGTTGGGGAACTGAGTATCACATTTTGGGAGSACAGGGCAGGTTTCGGTATTGTCAACATCAGGGTCAACATCAATGTCCGGAGTAACGTATACTCCTACTTCGCTACGGCAAGCGCCACGACCAAAACCACACTTGTCGCCGTACGCGTCCTGATTCCAGAAGCAGCCTTCCTCCTTGGAACACTCCTCACAATTCAAGAAATCCAAGCAAGATAGTGACGGTGGTGGTATGATTTCGCAACTCTCCTCAATCGATACAGATTCATCTGTCGAAAAGGCTTTTCGTTGAATGCAGGTGCCCGACTCCTTGTTGCTGCATTGTTCCAACCCGACGCATTGTGCAACGCTGCCATCTTGGCTGTGCCACCAAGCACAGTTTGTCCCTCTCCTACTACTACTACGAAAGGTTAAGCACTCTGTACAATTCTTTATCTGTTTGCACTTTCTGTTGATTTTCTCGCATGTCAGTYTTTTCTTTCTTTTGCTTATGATGCAAGATCCTGCTTCGAATCCTCTGTCGCTGCACCGTTCCTTCCCGATGCACCGTAGGGAKACATTTYCCTGAACAAACCACGCACAGGCGACACCSTTCATTGTGACACAGTTGTCGCAACCATCTCGATCGATGATTGTTTCGCAAGCGGCTCCACAGCCAAAGGGCGTTTCGTTCGTAATGCATTTTGCTTCTTCGTTGCTGTCGCATTGTGCTTCGTCAACGCAWTTAGAAGACGAACCGGAGACTGCCCATGCGCAATTCATTCCKTTCCTTAYCYTTAGGCACTTCTTGCAATTCTTGAAGCGAGAGCATGAGCGACCGCCAGCCTGMAAGTACTGACAAACAGTTGTTGTAGGTGCAGTCATAGTTTTGCGTTAGTAAGGCGAAAGATAAGGTTGATTTTGTCTCGGGTTGGTACCGAACACCGTTTGCACTGTTTCCTCTCTATCCCACAGTCCAATCAAACAAATGGAACCCGCTACCGATTCATCACGCGATTTCACTCCGTCTAGTACTTACRCGATGRTTATGAAAMTCGTCCGAGGCTTCTTCATTTGCTCCAACAGGCAAGAAAGAGACAAGAGAGATACCGATCAATACGATCGCACGCAATAGCATTCGTTTTCCCATTATTGCTACAGTTTCTGTTAGTTCACTGTTCTCTTCGCGGATGTAGTGTCTGCCGATGGCTGGAAAACAACCGCAGACAGATGTCGTGGCTGTTTCTGTTTCAAATAATGAGAGCTATGATTAGTCGTCGTTCTATCGCATGAAACTGGTCAAACGAGGGAGAAGCGAACAAGAAATCGAGAGCCAGTCTTGTCGCAAAAATCTCAACGTTGTACATATGCACGATTGCGATAATAGAGAGAGTGGGGGCATAGTTCATTGTACGTTGTGTGTGTGTCAACCAATACTTAAGTGGAACGAAGAATCGTTCCCACTACCATAGTAATAACTTTTTTTTTAACGATCAGGTTCATCTTTTTCGTTCAAATTTTACTTCTATCTTTTCGAAAGATTGAAAATGTTTGTTGCCACAAAAAAACTTCAAAGTGAATGTTAGGGCATAGTAGTTCAGTACCGTTTTCTCACAGTAACATGTGTCGATTCGATCACGAAAAGGTTCTGAAAGCATCATCTTATCTTTTACTGTACTATGGAAGCCCAAATGTGTTGACAACAAAAGCTCAAACAAGACGATTCAACACCCTGTCCTCCGATTTTAGTGGCACGTGTCCTTCGCATGTTATTAAAGTTCCTCGGTAGGTGTTTGACAACAGTGTTCGGAGGGTTCGAATAATATTGTAAAATATTTTTACGTGATTTACTACTGGGGCAAATACTGGAACTTAGTGCTTTCGTATGCTCTTCCATCGAGACAGGAAACCAAGCAATTAGTGGAGCTACTAAAGGCAAGTCCCATGCTGGCAAGTTATTGGCAATATCGGCTGTCACTTTTTTCATTTTCCTGTCTCCATTGCTACTCTCCCTCCCGCTCCTCATTAAAAACTAGTACCCATTACTACTCCTACTAGTAGAAGTAGCATAGAATGTATGAGCACTTGCTCATTTCTGTCTCTGATGAAACTGTTCTTGATAGCGCTCATATTACAGGTCACTACGTTGTGTACGGAGATGTGGTTTTTGGACCCTGCAGGGTATCTGGTGTCATGCATCAGGGTTCATATGCTGCAAATGCGTTAATAACCTCTGATGAAAGCGAGAAAATTCGAGTCTTCATAGGTACATACGAACAAGACAATGGACTCTCCACGATGGCTTGAGGGTGAATTTAAGTTTCAAGAAACTCTGAACCATCAATAGCTTGAATTGTCGATAGTAACCAATGTGAAAGTGCTTTTTTGTGACTTATGTTGTTTCCTTCGTTTGCACGGTGCCTATCGCAAAAGATGACGTGCAAGTCAAAGCTTTATTCGGACGAGATGCGGTTGCTGCATCAAGTACACGCATGGCTTCATTCAAGTCGTTTTTGCAGCCATCAAAATGCTCATTGGACACTTCGTATCGTTGCCACCATTCTCTTTTAAAAATGGATTCCAAAACACTACCGGTAACGTTGGTACTACTGCTTGTATTCACCGCGGTGGTATCGGCAGTCGACAAGGCCATAGCAATATTAGTCCSGGCASCACCATCGCCATTCCGTTGTATTACATCCTGTTTCGCCAAGTCTATGGCAGCGCACGCAAGCTCGACGACACCCCACCGTAGCGCCTTAGGATAAAAGAGAGCATCATTCAATCGAGTAAACGCTAAAGGTAGGATTTTGTCCCCAACACCATTGCCGTGATTTATGGTCGTCATGTCGTCCGGTTCTCTCCAACTCGTGCTTTCGTCGTGCTTTCGTTTATGAGGCGCAATTGTCATCGKCAGAGCTTGTTGGGCTCTATTTGGATGGCGTTTCTTGTGTGATTCTCCTGGCCATTCCTCCGATGAATATTTGCGATGACAATKGCCTCCGGTTTCACTCTTTGTTGGTTGGGTTGCGGTCTCGTTTCTCAAKATCCAAAACACCGCTCGGTGCGGATGGGAGACAGAACAATCGAATCCCAGCCATTGCAAAACCATTTGTTCCGTTTCGATCGCCTTTTTCTTGGAATCCCAATAAACATTATCCAGTGGAGGAGGACGCGACAAATTCATGGTCACGAAGCCTTGGTCGTTGGATTTGGGCTTCCCTGTGCATTCCTCACCGTTGCTTTTCGCTGTGCCCGTTCCTGCTCCTGCTCCTGCTTCCGTAGTACTCGGCAGTGGCGGTGCCGATAACACCATTTGTGCCAGGTTTATGACGTCGCGCAGTCGTCGAGGTTCGTCTTCGGCCTTGCAAGCCAAAAATATGCTGACCGCTCCGATCCAAGGCCAATCTTCTCCCGATTTGCCGCTGYCGTTGGTGCAACCAGTGCCGTTGCTATTGCAATCAGTACGTCGCGAACGTTCGCGTTTCGCTTGCGCGTATCGGTGAAGCAACACCAATGCGGTAAATCTGGTTTCCATTCCCAATCGAAGAACTTGGCACGCAACGTACATTCGAAAAAGAAACGATAGAGACGGGGAATGCGATAGCGAGGTGGATCGATCCTGGGATGGTGAGATATTTGGTGTTTTCGGTTCTGGTTCTTCCGTTGGTGCCGTCCCCAACCGATTCATTGGCAGACCATCGTTTCGGGGTTTATCATTGTCTTCTCTCTCATTTTCAGTTGTATTAGGAGCTCCGAAAATGCTACAAAATGCAGGTTTTACTGGAGGAAGAGGTGGTCGCAGAGGGAGGGACGAATGGCAATATGAGCGCGTTCCTCCCGGGACGTCGGTTGCCACCATMAGCAGTTTCGGTGAGTATTTTCTCCGATGGCGTCTCGAGAATCCTTGATTCAGCAAAAAGGTCAGTTCCCGTTAGATTGGTTTGGGTTGTTGCGTTGCGTTAGGATCGACGAGTTGAGATGATTCCTTTTGGAAGCTACGCAGTCCACAATTCGTACATGGTTCCTTTCTTTCCTCGTATTGGTCTTGACAGAGACGAATTTTGATGTCACGAGCACCGGAGAACGGAAGGTCCAAAAAAAAATCATGGTGCGGACCGGTTTTCGGGCTTCCCGTGCCGTGTGTCCATGGTCCATGGCCCTCCTGTTTCGAATTGGGGCTGTACGTATGGTGTAGTAGGACTTTTACTAGGTACGTACTCGTACTATCTGTGATGTTTGGAAAATAGGTAGTGTTTACATGGAGTACGGTGGTAGATACAAACCGTACGAAGATATTATTGTACCGTAACTAACAGATGATTCCCGCACGGTCGCACGAAATGCGCGCTCCAGAATAGTTTTACGAATAAACTTCTGAAAACTCGCTACATTCATTCGTCCGTCTGTGACTGATTGTAAACATCTGACGTGAGATCGTGCAGTCGTGTACCCATTCCACTACTACCAACTCGTTCGCTCAGTACGAAAAATACGTAAAGTTGACGTTGTGTGTCCCTGGTAGTACCGGGTGGAGTAAAACGTATTGAATGAGTCAACGGCGAGTCAGTAAAAACTGTGCGACCCTCACTGCGAGGCTGAAAGCGCCCACAAACAACGAAGAACACAGCGTTCTGTGTACCCAAACAAATACTGATCGAATGAGGCGTTTTGYATCCACTTTCATCAAAAAGACACAAAAAGAAAAGAAACCCGGCGAGCCTACACACATAGATGGAATTTACCAACCAACCAAGTTACAGAAGACGCCTCTAAACCTTTAAAAATACAGCTGATCACAATGAACACTTCTTTTTCAACCTCGCTGATGCTACTCGCAATCCTTGCGTGCGCGACAACCGCATTCGCTCCAATGAGCATCCCGACGAAACGCTCGGAAATGTACATGAGACGGGGACGCGGGAGTGGCCTCAAGCGAGAACTGGATGACTCGTCGTCGTCGTCTTTCACCGGAGGAATGGGAAAATCGTCCTCGGGCACGAATTGGTTGAATACGAAGAAGTCGGTCAAGGAACTTCCAACAGAAGAGGGCCAGGTACGGTTGGTTTTCGAACGCGATTGGAGTTAAAATTCGATAACGAACTGCTGCTTTTTGGAAGAACAATTTGTCTCTGTAGCCGCTGTGTGTTCGATGAGCCATATGACACTACTTGCTGACGCCTGATTTTCGCTGACTTTGATGTATTTGTCGATGAACCGTCATTTTTCCTGTTGAATCAAAACCAACCAAACTGTACACGTATGCGACTTCGATCCAATTGTGGAAACAAAATTTCTCTGGAAACAAACACAAAACAACAGGTCAAGCTTATCGAAACCGGTGCATTCTTGTTAGTGAACAAACAAACAAATCCCGGAGGCGCTGCTAGTACCGTGAAATATGGTGGAGAAACATACTGCTTCCAGGCGAATTGCCCTCAGTGCCAGGTAAATAGTATGCCGCGATTCTGATCTTGTTTCGGCGCTGGTGTGTCTTTAGAACATCCAACGTTTCAATGTAATCAACTCAGTGCCTATTCATCAAGCTCAAATTTTGATTTCGTTTTCACATGACTGCGTGCAATCCAATCGAATTTGATTTGATTTGATTTGATTCGGTGACTGCTGCACGCGAAATTTATTCAAACAATATTAGGTGCCCATGACAAAGGCCAAGGTCTTGCCTCCCAACGACGAGACCGACAACAAGGCACCCCGGGTGGCCTGTGATCTGTGCAAAAGCACCTACAACATGAAAACGGGGGAGAAAGTGGAGGCTGCGGAAACCACTGGGTTTTTCGGAGGGATGGCCAAGGCGGTGCTTGGCTCGAATGATGGCGGCAATCTATCGACGTACCAACTCGGTGAAAAGAACGGCAAAATAATGTTTACCATGGAGGGCATGTAACAAAGTACTGTACACGACAAAGTGACTTCAATGCGCCACGGGGCATTTAACGGTTCGCAAACCGAATTTTAAACCGCTAATTGACTATGAAGGGCGATTGAACCCTGTGATCCTGTAACTTGAATAAGAACTAATTTGGGAAACAAAGAATATTGTCGGTACGTTGAACTACTCAGGAGGGGAAACCCTTTCAGCTACAATGGAATAGAAAAAAGAATCCATCACGAAATCCAAAGCACAAGGGTGTCGAATGTTGGCGAACAACGCTAATAAAAATTGATATTACGGTACAATATAATACTTCATTTTGTTGATGAAATCCCCCTCAACTCTTTTTAGAACCAACCGAATTTAAATATGGTGAAGAAAGGTAAACCTTTGCACCTTTTCACATTCATTTCATCTTCTCATTACGTGGAAAGATACGGCGATAGATCTTACAACATTGTAGCCAACAGAAGTCCAATCCAATCTATTTATAACGTGATGATTGATCATGATCCAGCCGGCTGTTGTCTGTAGTTAAAATGTAAGGAAACGAAAAAGATTTCTTCKATGGAATTTGRCAAGAAGRTCATTGCAGAGGTCGACTGATGTAACATGTACAGTTAATTGGGAATTTGTRCTTATGCAYTAATATTCTCATTATTTTGTGTTCAAGATGAATGTACAACGTGTACAGAGCATTCTTTTCTATCATGTTCTATGTTCGTTGGGCAAAACGGTACGTGCACACAGCAAAGACGTAAATGAGTATGGTGCATGCTGTTTGGTCCCCCCTGTTAAACCTGGCCAGTCGGTGAGTTAGGAAAGGGATCAAGAAATTGATAGGTTGTGCCGATTGGATTGCCTTGATKGTAGTCGTAGTTCGYTCTTCTCTTTCGTCCTGACCGCTTGACTATCTTGATAGTACAGGGATGGATGATCCATTGGGAAAAGAAAACGATCGAAGATGACTTGGAGGAAGAAGGAGAAGGTAGATTCGATTAGGATTTTCGGTTCGATACAGACGGAGAGCGATCGTATGTGTAACAATCAAACCGATGTAGAACGGCCTTTTCTATAGGCCGACGTTTGGTGTTTCTTTTGAAAGGCAATCGAATGCCTTTGCTCATTTCGGTTCAGTACAACAGTATGATATGCATGTAATAAAACAGTATGGATATCCCTTCATGAACACTGGTGAGAATTTGATTGAATCAATCACGAGAAAGATATCTTTCGATAGAACAAGTATGATCTCAACTATTCCACGCATGGAGCTGCAGAGGAAACTTCAGAAGATACAGCAAGTCGTTCCATAGAAGTTCCACTCTTGCTCAATGCCACTCGAAAGGTCGATTCGGCAGAATCTTGAGAAGGAGAGCGATGGAGTGGTTGTGGTCTGCTTTGCAGTGCATAGGGCAAGGCCACACCGCACTGTTCTAGAAGAAGTCGGCGCTTGATACGGCGGAGAGTTCTAGCGAGCTGCACTGCGTCTTGTGGATCTTCCTGGACTAAATTTGAGTTCAGCATGCTGACCTTGTTGGTTACAGACGTCATGATTGATTTTGTTTCGAGCTTGATTGAGATGTCAGACAAATTTGTGACTGATGCAATAGATCATTCCATTGGCGTACCGTAGAGAAAAGTGTGCTTAAAATTTGTGTTCCAGAATGTGGGGTTTTCAATATGCCGCCCTACCGTAGGGTTTGAAGCGATGATACTACGCTAGGGGAAGAGAATCCGAACGTGCTTCGAAAGAAGAATTGCAGGAGAGAAATATTGTATGGAATCTTTTTGGCTATTTCTTGTTGCACGTTACGTACGGTTGGTAGACGAGACACTTTTCTAGTGAACCGTACGTACTAACTCATCGAGTTTTGACACGAGGTGTCTCACAACTTCGTATCATTTCCTTTGTACTGTACTTCTACGTGACACTTGATACCTATTCCGCTCATTTTTTGACAGGAGCATGTTGATTGATTGGGTTCTCCAAGTTGACCCTTGATAGAAAACCCTATTTTCACAGGATGTTTGAAGAGAGAAAAAAAATAGAATGAACGATACAATGCATCTCCTGAAATATTCCACGGAACACAGGCGACATGTCTGTGAGTGAAGCACATGAATTCTTTGTTTCGTTTTGTTGGCATATTCCAAACACTTTATTTGATTTCTAGACAAAACATTCGAGAGCTATCAATTTGTTGTCTAGTCAACGCCATCAAAAACTGCCATTTTCCATGACGCCAAACGACTGAAGATCATAGCCATTAAGTGAAGGTGCGCGATGACGTACGAAGAGGACTGGTTTCTATTATTCTTTCGACAAGCGACATTCTACTAGTTGTTCTATTCGTTTACAGTCCAATACCGGCAGACAGTTGAAACGCTTCTCGGTATTAGTAGTACTTATCCTACCGTACCTCCTCATCATACCAGTACAACGAGGAGTCACAGGTGTTTGCCCGGGCATTTTAAAGCGACTTTTGCGTTCATTTGGAGTTAGGGATAAAGGTGATATTCTGTGGGAATCAAGCAATATGATTGGCTAATTAGACCCTCACATCATTCCCAAGGCACATTACAGACCAATTTCAATCAGGAACAGACCAATTTCAAGGGGGTAACCATTTTTGATAATTTAAATCATTCTAATTAGCCAATCAAATTGCTTGATTCTGACAAATATCACCATTATCCCTAACTCTAAATTAATGCCAGTCGTGATTGTAAAATGTCATCTGTA